GTGTGCTAGGAGCAAAAGGGCCATGATCCTCCCTCCTGGATGGACCAGAGCACGCGGGTGCGTCACCCAGTATGGGAGGTGCACCCATGTAGATGTGCATAAAACACAGTCAGTAGTCTGGAAAATTCCTTCTACATGGGAACCTGGTGGGGGAGACAGATAAAAATGAAAGGACCAGCCAAAAGGTGGAAGCAACAACCCAAGTGTCCATCAGTGGATGAATGGATAGACAGAATGTGGTATGTGTATACAATAGAATATTTTTCAGCCTCAAAAAGGAAATTCTGACACATGCTACAACATGGGTGAACCTTGAAGACATTATGCTAAGTGAAGCAAGCCAGTCACAAAAGGACAGTGCTGTATAGTTTCACTTCTGTGAGGTATCTAGAGTAGTCAAACTCATAGAGACAGAAAGTAGAATGTGGCTGGGGGGCACTGGGAGAAGGGATAATGGGGAGTTTAATGGGTACAGAGTTTCAGTTTTGCAAGATGAAGAACGTTCTGGAGGCTGGCTGCACGACAGTGTGAGTGTACTTAACACTACTGAACTGGACACTTAAAAATGGTTATGATGGTACATTTTATGTCGTGTATATTTTAATACAATGAAAAAATTTTTTATTTTTTTTTTAAAAAGGACCATGTGCACTTGTGAGCTGGCACTGTGGTCTAGCGCTGCAAAGGAAAAGTACAGAGGCTGTGGGATGAGGACCCATCGAGCGATGTTCTCAGCCTGTAGAAGCCTCAAGTGCAGCTCTGTAGTGTTTCTTAGTCTCTTGTCACCACACAACAGTGAAGTGTCAGTCACATCGCTGAGTCACCCTCAGCATGGCTCTGTCCTCTCCCCTTCACACAGAGCCTTGGCTGGTGGGCATGAGGTGGGATGTGTTCTCCCATCCCTGAAGACGTGTCATAGCGTTGGCAGGGGGTACTCTGTTGTCTCTCCTGTGGCACCTGTGGTGACCTCAGGACCTGAAAAATGCCTCTCCCCGAAGCCCACCAACCCATGGGAACTGCTCCCAAGCGGGATCCACACACAAGACCCTGGGTTCCCCCAGGGAGGCAATATGAGGTCCCCACCCTGAAGACCCTCACGGGCCACACTGGGGAAGCGACTTTTCTTCCTGGGGGCAACCTGACAATGTACATCATCAACTAAATGTGTATACATCCCGTGGCCCAGCAATTCCACTCCTTGGAGTATTTCCTAAGATGATAACTGACAGCTGTCTGATGATGTGTGTACAGAGGTGATGGCTACATACCGCTCGTAAGAGTGAAAAATTGGAAACAATTTAAATGTCCATCAGAAGGGGCTGCGTTAATTTAGTTTAATAAATCCAAACTATGGAGCCATTAAAAAATGATGATGGAGACCATTATTAACTTATTACCATGGAACGATTGCTGCGATATATAGTTAGGTGGGGAAAACAGCCTGCATCTACATTCTCCTATTCTTTAAAACACACACACACACAAACACACACACACACAGTTGTGTATATGCCCAGGAAAGTGTGTGAGAAAACGCACACCACCGTGTTAAGCAGGGCTGTCTCTGTGTGGTAAAATTATGAGTGACTTATAGTTTCTTCATTTTACTTTTTTGTTATTGTCTTAATTTTGCATGCTATGCATGTATTTCTCAGGCGGGAAAAGACGACAAAGCAGTTTCCATGGCGGGTGTGAGGGCAGCAGTGTGGCAGGGTCCTAAGCCCAACAAGCCCCACCATGCACAGAGGACTCTCAAGGGTTTCATGTGGCCCCCGAGGCCCAGCCCCTGTTGGGGGATAGGGTGGGGCAGGCAAAGCTGGTACTGATGGATATTCGGATATTCGGCCTTTGCTTCGCAACAGGAGGCCCAGGGAGCCCCTTGTTGGCACTTCATGACCCCAGTCACCTTGCTGTGGCCTCTAGGACTTGAGCATCTGTTCTCACGAGCCACACAGCAGCTCTCCAGGGACAGGGTGGCCTTGGTGGCTGCTGTTTCTGTTTCCCTCCCTGTCCAGCACTTTCTTCCCCTCTGGGTGTCCAGTCTGTAGGACACTTAGAGTCCGTGATGATGTCTGACCTGCAGAGGATTTATTCACCACGCAGCAACTTAGTACACAGCTGCTTTGCATCTGTAAACTGTTGGGGTGAGACTCTGGGGCCTCCCATGTGGAGTAGAGGCCAACAGAACAGGGTGCTGGCTTTGGGCAGGGTGCTGCACTTGGTGGGTCCTCAGTTTTCCCACCTGGGAAGTGCAGATGACAACAAAGGTTCCTCAAAGAGCAATTGTCACCAGGTGCCTCTGGGAATGGCCGAAGGGACTTTTCACTTTTACACTTTTGTGGATTTTAGACAATGTGCATGCATCACCAATTCAAATAATTAAATATGTGTTATAAGAGGACTCCCAGAGGAGCAGAAAGGCTTTCCAAAGGGGGTTCCATGAAGCATTCATCCCACCACATGGGTTCTGTCTTATTCAGTAACCACATAAAAGCAGACCCTTCCGCACAGGGTTTCTGGGAGGCAGGGATGAGTGATTCGTGCCAGGGTCATGGTCTGGCACTTGGTAGATTCGTGCCTGGCACTAAGCATAAACAGGTGACCACTGTCTACTTGGAAAAATAGATGCATGTCACTTGAGCAGACAGTATGTGCTGTACAGTTAAGTGCTGAGTTTAAGGAAACCCATTACTGAGACTGAGTTTCTCTAGGAAAACTTTCCAGGCAGATTCTAAGTGCTGTATGTCCTTTCACCCTGTTGGAGAACCTTGTGCACATAAGTATATTAAAGGCTCTGAGAAGTCCCTCAGTAACAGAGCTTGGTCTAACTGAGTGCTTCTCCAAGGTATGTGATCAGGGAACTCTTTTTTTGGCCTGGTTCCTGTTAATATCCTACAGTATTAATGTGGTACAGAGGAAGTTTGGAGAGAGGGAAACTCTCTTCCTGTCGAGTAGAGGATTTGGTCCACAGGTTATAAAGCTGTTCACGTTTGTCAGATGGGAGGAGGAGGCTGACAGTGGCAAGTGGCTGCTCTGTGCCTGTCACTGGGCCCTGGGGCTTTATCATCATTTGCGGGTCTGATGCTCTTGGCTGCCCTGTGAGACGAGCACCTACTGGCAAGGAAACTGAATATCAGAGAGGTTGATGCGTCCAAATCACACAGCTGCTGGGTAACAGACCCAGGATTCAAGCTCGGGATGTGTGCTCAGAGCCTCCAAGGCTCTCTGTGCTCTGAAAAGTTGACATCATTCCTTCACACACTCGTCCCCTCCTTACTAAATACCCTGAATGTATTTCCTTCATCAGAAAAGAGATCATGGAGCACTTGGTGTTTTTTGAAGTAGGCAGTAGGAGTTGAGGGACCTTGTTTCAGTTGCTGCTCTGAATTTTAATCTGTGGCTCTCCGAGATTCAGGTCCTTTCTGTGCCTGCTGCAGAGATTGTCTCATCCAAGAAGCACTCAAGGAAGAGCTTCCAAGCACCACGCTGTGGCCCCACCTGGCTCTTCCTCCAGTCTCTTGTTGCTCTGCTGGAGTCTCAAGGGGAAGGGATGGGCAGGAGAAGGCAGGGGGCATCTATTGAGCACCCGCTGGGTGTCACGCACTGTACTGAGCACTTTCCAACTTTCTCAGCAGCCCCGTTGGACAAGCATTGTCACTATGTTTCTCCAGTGAGGAAGCTCAGGCTCAGAGAGGTTAAGTAACTTACTGAAAGCCACACAGCGAGTGTATGGAAGCTGCTATTGATTCTGCCTTGTTTCCAGAGGAGAGCAGGAGGGGGGGAGCCTAAGTGACCATGCTGGGGACAATAGGAGCACAGAGGGACTCCTCAGAGCCCAAGGTGCTGCATGTCCCAGACTCAGAGCATCTTTTGCCCTGTCAGCCCTGTTCAGGGTGAGGGTGGGCATCCCCAGCTTCCTGGGGGTCTGCCCAGCCTTCAGGAGTGCCCATCTCACTAGCTGTAGGGTGATCTCCTCTCACTGCTTCCCAGCGTGGACCTTCCCCAAGGGGAAGTGATGAAGGGATGCTTTGCCCCTGCTTGGGTCCCAAGCCCTCTGGCTGTGTGAGTTCCTGGGGCTGTGTGGGGTCGAAAGGGGATCTGGGAGGCCCAGGACCTAAGGAAGAGAGAACCGAGGCAGGAAGGAGGAAAGGGAAGCTGGTGACTGTGCCCTGGGAAAGCCAGATCAAGCCTGGAGCTTTGTAGCCACTTCTGAGCCCTTCTGAGCGAGAGGGGGTGGCTAGACGGGAGGGAGCTTGAGAAACAGGGATGTTCTCCTTGAGAAGCTGGGGGTCTGGGCATGGCACTCAGGAGAGCTCGATGACTGGTGGGTGGTGGGTGAGGTACCTACAGATATTCAGCAGCTGAGAGGGTCCGTCCTGGTGGCTCCAGACCTCAGGCCAACAAGAGAAGGAGCAGGTGGGGTCAGCTGGCAGTGAGGAAACGCTTCTCACAGGCAGATCGATCCAGAAGTCAACAGTGCCATGCGGCTCATGGGCTTCCTCCCATCACTAGAAATTTTCCAGCAGGGGCTGGAAAGGATTGGAAACAGGCAGGGGTTTGCCTAGGTGATCTCTAGGATTCTGAGAGTCGTGGCGGATAGAGACGGTAACAGTGGCCAGTTTTCATAAGCACTTCCCACGTGCCAGGCCTGTACCAAGGGCTTCACATGTGTTACCCCACTGAGATCCCCGCTCTGCCAGAGAGAAACAGGACAACATGGGGTTGTCTTTAAAGTGGGTGTGGAGAGTTCATGGAACTCAGCCCACAGCTGTGCTGAGTCCTGGGAAGGTAAGTGACCGTCCTGGCCCACTGGCCCAGGAGGGCAGAGCCAGAATTGCCATTTGCACTCCGCTCTTAGCTCTCTGCTCTCCTGTACCCCATCATTGAAAAGGAAGGAAGGATGGGACAAGGGACGAGAGGAGAGGTGGGCCTGCATGGGTGCACGATACAGGGGAGCTGTTCTGCATCCTGCATCTAAGCACATGTCTCCCTCTGCCCAGGTCTGGAAGAGGTCGGGGGCCTGGTTCTACAAGGGGCTCCCCAAGTATATCTTGCCCCTGAAGACCCCTGGCCGGGCTGATGACCCCCACTACCGACCTTTGCCCATGGAGCCTGCAGAACGAGAGCCCAGAAGCACTGAGACCAGCCGCATCTACACATGGGCTCGAGGGAGAGGTAAGTCCCTTTGCCCTCTCCCAGGATAGCCTCTGTCATTCAGGCCATCGGCCGGCCGGGCGGCGCATGGGCATGAGGCTGTGCCACCACACCCTCGTGTGCTTCATCCCTCTCCATGCCCTCAGCTCCCACCTGTACCCGAGCGGGCGGCTCAGACCCCCAGCACGGAGATTGCTCACTCTGTTCAGAAACACAGCAGGAGAGCCCACTGGAGGCAGTTTCACAAACAACCACTCATTTGGGGGCAGGGATGCTGTGAGCAGCCCTGTGGATCTTTGCAGAAATGTGATGTTAATTGAGGTATAAGTATAAAAGTATAAAAATGCATCTTTCCCAGGAGGCCTGTGCCATTCCTTCCAAGCACTTGTCTTGTGTCTCCGCAAGGGAGGGAGGACTCTGGGCTTCCCTAGCCCTAATGAGCAAGGTGACTCTGTGCCCAGCACCCTTGGTGTTTGTGGTGGCCTCACTGAGGTGGGCGTGTCCCAGGTGGCCACCATCAGAAGGGGAGCTCCCCGCATGTGGGAATTATAACAATACCTGGTGTTGAAGACAGCTCTCCACAGTTCGCATGATGCTTTAACACTTATTGCTCTTCAAAGTTTCTGGTCTCACAACAGACTTAGGAGGTGGACAGGGCAGGGATTTCATAGCCCCGTTTTACAGACAGGTAGCCTGAGGCTCAGAGAAGAGGAGGGACTTAATTAGCAGGTGTGTGGCCAAGCTGGGATCCAAAGGCAGGCTCTTGCTCTCTGGGGTCTGGTTCCTTATGTTCCAAAGTGCCCACATTTCAGCCCAAGTCTCAGGGTCGGAGGATCCTAAATGAGACAGCAGCCAGAGGGGTGAGGGAGGTCATCCTGGTGATGGCTCATCTGGGGGAGGTGCACCCAAGAGAGTGGACCTTGCATCTGGTTCTAAGGGGCTTTTGAACATCTTTGGATTGTGACCTGACATCTGACTATCTTTCTAGGCCTGTGTGAGCCACTGTGGCCTAAGCCCCCACCCTGAGGGACCTCACCACCGTCTGCTCCTAATCAGCACAGTGTGCACACACGTACACCCTGAGAAGAGCAGGGTCCCGCCACCTCCTCAGCCGTGTAGACACAGATGGCCTTTTAATTAGGTGGGCGAGGAGGCCCATGGCCCCACACACTTGGAATAGGCACCATTTGTTAGCTGAGTGTGCACTGAGGCCAAGCCAGGCACTGCGGAGCTCCCTCGTATGCTGCTGTCCTTCTGAGGCACAGGGTCGCAAACTCCCTCTAGCTGCTCTGTGCCAGGCATGTCACGGTCCTGGAGTTATCTCGTGGCCTGACACATGCAGCACACGGCAGCAGGATGGTAGGGCTGACAGCTGGGCTGGCGGTGATGGCTCAGGAGGCATCTGCACCCACACAGAGAGGATGGAACCGGGATGTGTGGGGTGCAGTGGGGTGGGCAGGACTGAACTTGGGACACCACAATCATGAGGTGGAAGGAGGAGGAGCTGGATGGAGGAGGCAAGGGAGGCGCTGCCTGGCAGGCAGGAGGAAGAGCTGAGAGCTTCCATCCTAAGGAAGCCAATGTGCCAGGGTTCGCAAGGAGGGCCATGCAGAGCCATAGACAGGTTCCTGCCCTGCCTCCAGGTCCATTCCTGTGGTTGTCCTCTCTGATTAGCCTGCGTGAAGCCAGGCTGTGTGCATTCTGACTGAGTTTGGTCCCAGATCTGGCCATATACTCACAGGGGTACATGGGGTGGCTACTGGATACATGAGGGGAGACCAGATGGCAGCCCTAGCCAACTGGAACTGTCCTTACAGCTGTGGTCCTGAGCCTGGGGACGGAGGGGCCCTCTGGGGGGCCAACCCCATGCTAGCCTTTCTTTGGCTTCATGGTGGTCCACATGGCCCCATGGTGAAGTCCACAGCAGCCTCTGAGAGGGCTTGGCCATGCCTGCCTCTGGGAAGTCCCCAGCTGCCAGGCCTGCTGCCTCGGTCCCCATTCCTTCTCAGGCTGGCAGGCTCCTGACAGAAGATGGCCCTTAGCGGGCAGCCCTGAAAGTCAGGCTCAGGGATGTCACCAGGCCTGTCCAGTCCACTGCTGACTAGAGATCCTGTTAAGTGTTTTTCCAGCTCCTCCTCCCCACCCCAGCCCCACCATGGTGGTGCCCTGGTGCCAGGTAGCTGGCTGGGCTCAGGGCTGCAGCTGTGGTCCAGTCAGAGCCTCTCTAGTGAGCACAGTCCTCCCAGCACCGTCTTCAGCCCAAACTGAGTACAGATGGAGACAGAAATGACCAGCACTGAGGAGTGGTCTCCCCACTACACTGGAGGCTCCTCGCAGGCAGGGCCATGTCTGTCCGATTCCTTAGCATGGATAGGCATGGAATAGATGCTTATTAGATGAACAAACAGATGAATGAAACGCCCACCCCCTCCAGGGTGATGGAAAGGCCTGTGGAGGGGTTTTTGTTAGAGTTGGGAGGCTCCTCTGGGTCAGGAGTCTGCTGGACAGCCCTGGTCTTGGGGGCTGTTAGAACTACTACACTCTCCTCCTGGGACCTGCCTCTGAAGAGCCCAGAGCCAGCATCCTCTTCCTGCCCCCGTCCCTCTCGCTGCCACAGAGCTGATCTTGGCACCGGCTCGCTCTCTCTCAGCCCTTGGCACCTGCGGCTCCCAATGTCTCTTTGGGATCCCAGCCCACCCCATTTTCTTTCCCCTGCCCTATAGGGAGAGGAAGGGGTCACTAGACACAAGCCATGAGCTTTTCAGTTCACAGAGCAATCAAGTGAAATGTATTGATATTTCTGAGACGGGTTCCTCTTCTTCCTCCTTTAAATTTTGTTAATTTTCTACTATATAAGATACATAATATAGGAAGTGGATTGAATTATGTCCACCCAAAACTCACTGAAGCTTGAATTGTGTCCCCCAAGTTTTATGTATTAGAAACTTGGCCCCCACTGTGACTGTTAAGAGGGTGGGAAATCCTACTATGACTAATTGAAAGGTGGAGCCTTGAAGAGGTGATTGGATTGTAGGACCGTGCAGTAGTGACTGGATTAAAAATGGTGGTCAGGGGCACGGTTCTGAGGACTTTAAAAGGAGAGGAGGGTCTGTCTCTCTCTCTGCTCTCTGCTCCACCATTTCACAATGTGATACCCTGTTGTCACTGAAGTCACCACCAAGACCCTCACCAGATGTGTTCCCTGGACTTTGGACATCCCAGCCTCAGAAACTGTAAGCAGTAAACTTCATTTTCTTTCTAAATTACCCAGTTCCATGTATTTTATTATAAGCAACAGAAATGGACTAATACAGAAAATTGGTACCAGAGAAGGTGGGGTGTTGCTTATAACAAATATTTGAAAATGTGGAAGCGGCTTTCAAACTGGGTGTTGAGGAGAGGCTGGAGGAATTTGGAGGAGCAGGCTAGAAAAAGCCTAGATGCTGGTGAAAGTTTAGAAGACAAGAAAACCAGGGAAAATTTTAGAGACTGGTTAAATAGTGGTGACCAGAATGTTTATGGAAATATGGACTGTAAATACGACTCTAAATAGGTCTCAGATGTAAATGAGAAGGGACTTATTGGAAACTGAGGCAGAGATCAACCTTGCTATGAACTGGCAAGGAATTTGACCACATTCTGTCCATGCCCTAGGACTTTGTGGAAGTTGGAACTTAAGAATTGTGAACCAGAGTATTTGGGGGAAGAAATTTCTAAGCAGCAGAGCATTAAGGAAGCTTCATGGCTGCTCGTAACAGCCTACTCTGAGTTATGGCAGCAAAGTCATAACATAAAGCCAGAATTTAAAAGAGAAGCAGAGTGTAATGATTTGGAAAATTTGCAGTCTGGCCATGTAGTAGAGAAGTAGAGAGCATTTTTAGAAGAAAAATTGAATGGTACTAAGAAGATTAGTACAAAAGAAAGGGATTATCAAGAGAAGGAGAAAAGGCCCTGAAGACATTGCAGAAGCCTCTGGAGCCAGTCCTTCCATTTCAGGCCCAAAGGCCTAGGGAGATAGAATGGTTTCAGGGAGCAGGCTTGAAGTGCCCTCCATGGGCTCACTGCTCAGGGCCACCTTGGGACGCCGCTCCCAGCACCAGCACCCCACCCAGCTGCTGTGACTGCTCCAGCTATGGCTAAATTGGATCCAAGTGTGGCTGAACCCACAGCTTTGAAAGATACAAGCCGGAAGCCTTGAAAGCATCCACATGATGTTTAGTTTGCAGGCTCACAGAATGCCAGAGCTGTGAAGACTTGTAAGCCTCCACCTCAATTTCAAAGGATACATGGAAAAGCCTGGGGACCCAGGAAGAGATCTGTTGTGGGGGTAGATTCACTGCATAGAGTCTTCACTAGAGCAATGCCGAGTGGAAATGTGGCGTTGGAGTTGCAGCAGAGAAACCCCATCAGCACCATGCCTAGTAAAACTGCAAGAGCAGGACTGCAATGGAGACTCCAGACTTGTGGAGCTACCAGAGTGGAACACCAGCCTGGGAGAACCGAAATGTGGCCTGAGCCCAGTAAAGCCATAGGAGTGGAGCTGCCTGAGGACTTGGGGACCCAACTCCCACACCAGCATGCAGAGGACATTGAACATGGAGTCAAGGTACATGATTTGCCAGTTTTGAGATTTAACACCTGCCCTGCTGGGTTTCAGACCTGCTTAGGACCTGTTACCCCTTTTGGGGGGGCCTATTTTTCCCTTTTTGAATGGGAATATGTACCCTTTGTTTGTCCCACCATTGTATCTTGGAAGTAGATAACTTGTATTGATTCACATGTGGGACTTTGAACTTTGGACTTTTGAGTTGAAACAAGTTAAGACTTTAGGGATGAAATGAATGTATTTGCATGTGAAAAGGACATGAGTTTTGGGGCACCAGGGACAGAATGCAGTGGATTGGATTGTCCCCCCAAAACTCACTGAGGCTTGAACTGTGTCCTTCAAGTTTTATATTTTAGAAACTTAGCACCCACTGTGACTGTTAAGAGGGTGGGAAATCCAATTATGGTAATTGAAA